AATTCAATCTCCTTAGATCACACAGGATATGAATGCAGAGGAAGAAAGCCCTTAGAGCCATCTCTAATCTCCAAGTCTGTCATCATTCCCCTTTCCAGATATCAACATGGTGACTTGTGGGGCAACGCTGGCAAACTCTCTGTGCAGCAATTCCGTACATTAACTACCACAGACTCAAGCTTTTATTATTGCTTTCAAAGCTAAGCAGTGTAACAGTGAAGATAATGCCAAGCCCTACAATCAATAGAGAGAGTATTGAAGTCCCTTTCTATAAATGCTTCACCATTTTGCACATTAAAAAATATCTATCAACCAGTCTTTTTATTCACTCTTCTCATCTCCTTGTCCTTGTCCTTGTCCTTGTCCTCTCCCTTCCCTTTCCGCTTCCACCACTTCTCCTTCTCCTTCTCCTTCTCCTCCTCCTCCTCCTCCCCCCTCCTCCTCCTCCTCCTCCTCCTCCTCCTTCTTCTTCTTCTTCTTCTTCTTCTTTGTTTTCTTCTTCCTTTTATTCCTTTACTTTTCTTTTTAATTTGTGGGGCTAGGGATCAAATTCAGAGGTTCAAATATGCCAGGTAAGCTCTTTATCAGCATGCTCTATCCCTAGTTCTTATCTTGGTCATTCATGCATAGAGACATAAATCTATACATTTGCTCTGATTACACATATTTTATATATTTTTTTATTTATATGATTTTTTGACTGGATAATTTCTAAGATTCCTTTTTTAAATTAAATTTCTTTTTAATTGATACATAAAAGCACAAAAATACATATTAATGGAGTACTATGTGATACACGTATACATTGTACAATCAGGTTAAATATATCTACACCTCAAATATTTATCACTTCAAGGAAAAAACACTCAAAATTGCTTCTTCTAGCTTTTTGAAATATGTAATTCACAGAAATTATAGTCACTCTGCTCTACAATAGATAGCACATTAGAATTTCTCTCTAATTGTCACTTAGTACTTATTGACATATATTATTTGTTTTTAAATTTTTATCCAAACCCATAGCTACAAATTGGACTGGGTATTCATCTACACAGTCATCTTTATTTTTCTGATCAATACAAAGAGCCACTAGCTATTCAACATGCATTTACAGAATGTGTAGTATGTTCCAAATCTTAGGCACACGATAAACATATAAGATGAAGTCTTCAGGTTTCCATATTAGTGGTGAATGCAGACATAGGAATTAAATATTTGAATAAAATATGGTAAAGGAAATAATGAAGATAAGCATGGGTGGCTACAGGTACTGCCATGGGCTGGAGAGAAGTGAGAATTTCTAGGAAAATGTCCTGGTGACATTTTTTTAAAACACTGTGGTAAGCACACTTACCATGAGATTTTAACAAATTCCTAAATAAACTACTATAATTATTGACTATAGGTACATTGTTGTGCAGGAGGTCTCTAAAATTCATTCATCTTTTTTAACTGAAACTATATGCTCTTTGATGATTAGCATCCCATTTTTTCCTCTGTTCAGCCCTGCAACCACCATTCCACTCTATGATTCCATGATTTTTCTCTATTTTAGGTGCTTCATCTAAGTGAAATGTGATTTGTGCGTATGCACACATTTCACATGTGTAACTCTTTCAATTCTCCTTCAAATGACTTGTAACTTCTTGCCGGTTCTCTCCATTATTGAGCAATATATAATTTTTTACATGTGTCCATTTGATAATGTCTAAGACTTGTGGTTTCACTCTTTAATGACAGATTAGCTAAAGAAAATGCACTGTATCTCAATGTTCCCAGGTCTCACTATAAGCACATATTTTTCTTGAAATTATGGGGGAAAAAATAAAACCTTTTCTTCAGTAGCATTGCAGGGTTATTTTCTATACCCTTTTTCTTAAAAGGAAACCTCATTTTCTACCCTCTCCTGCTTCATTCCATTCCCCTTCCTGCCAACGCAGTAAAATGATCTTCATCTGTTCCCTGGCAAAACTAATTTTCTGTAAAAGCTGTACTCATCCCCATTACAGGGTATCCAAGAGATAAGCGTTAATGTGCATCTTTTCCTATGGAGCTTTTCTAGCACGTTGCCAGGGAACAAAGCCTTAAGCTTAAGAAAAGAATTTATAAAGATTGAGATTTCTGGAAGAAAATCACAGATCATTTTGTGTCAAAGAATAAAGACTTTTCAGAGGCCTTAAATTAAAGTTGTGTCACTCTGTGAGCCCTCACCCCAAAAAAGGAAAGAATTTTTTGAGGGATAACCACCATCAAACAGGCAGAGCAGATTGCCTGCCAATGGCATAGCTTCAAGTTGTGGGGAGCAACTTTGAAGGACAGGGTCTTTTCTGCCAACAAAATGTTATTTGAGACAAAAACATTCTGTTTTAAACAAACAGTAAACACACAGCAGAACAAACACAGAAATATACAAAATGAAAAAACCAACCGTGCTCTTGTGTAATGGACAATAATCCAGTGTGTTGGGCCATGTGTGAAGAATGGGAAGAAAGGAACATCAGGTTTCTGCTTCCACCAGCTCTGAAAGGGCAGATTCTGGGTTTTCAGAAGACTGACTTCTCTACTGTGGCTAGTTGTCATCTGTCATTCCCAAACTTTCTGAGCATGTGCAAAAGACAGACAGCACTTTCTGAGAACTGACAGAATTATGAGAAGTTCTGATCCAATAAGCAGGCAAGTCTAGCTAGGTTTCTGCTGATGTTTCTTCTCTTCTGCTTGTTACCTACCCACTCTCTCTATGGGGTTAGACCCAGAAGTCCTTCAAGTGTAGTGGCACTGTGGACAACATTTTCCAACTCCTTGCCCCTCACCAGTTTGGATGGGGCAAGTGATGTCTAAAGAGACTTCCAGGTGTCTCAGACAACAACCAGCCAGTGAGTGTTTAATCTGCCATCTTAGATATTATGAGCTGTTGCCAGCAAGAACTTGGGCACCAGCAGCTACCAAATCGAGCAGCTCCACATCTTTTATTCCCCTCATCTTTTTGCTGCCAACTCTCCCACAGACCTCATGCAGGGCAGTGAGCCTGTGGACAAGAGCCCAGAATTTCTCCATCTGTGGCTCTGCCTCCACCACTCTGAAGATTTAGTGCTAGAGATGACCTCTTTACAGAACTCACCAGCTAGTATTTAGAAAGAACCTATGACTGAATGACAGCCATTGACTCAACCTTTGCCTTTCATCCTTCACACACTTGACTTCCAAATTTGGACTTCTGGAACATATGCAGTTTTGCAGTCATCCTTAAACTATACCATCTGAAGATGATTTAGTTTAATTCCACTAGAAACTGCAGAGAAACCCAGTATCTGGTTAATTGTGGTGGGTCAGAGTCAGAATCAGAACACACAGCTGGAGGTGTTAGGAGAAACATTATAGCAACTCATTTAATGCACTCATCTAAAAACCTCTGTTTCTAGCCCCTACTTCACTATCAAATGAGATAATTTTAGATGATGTTTATAAAAGTGGCTTGCAAATAATTTAATATACAACTGACAAAATATGGAAAGGAATACAGACACAATATGGAGTATCTATCATTCATGAATTATCCTTTCACATAAAGTTGATGCTCAGACTAGACTGGAATTGGCCTACAAACATAGATACCTCTGATTTGGAAGCTCTTCTTTTGACAGTGCAGCTATACACTTCCAACTATTTAGTTGGGGGTGTTCACTCTGGTAAGTGATTCTTAATGCCTTCCACTTTTGTTCTGGGCCCTTTTTGTTTAATATGCCTTAGTGAAAAAAAATTTAAACACTGCAGCATCCTAAAACACACTCCTTCTCATATACCCACACTCCAGGGAAGCCAACTACCAAAAAGGAGTGAGTGACTTGATGACAAGGTGGGTGGCATTGTATGAGTAAGGACAAACAAAGATCTCACCCAAAGGGCATTTATACTCGATCAGCTCCTATGTCTCTAGACTCACTTCCTCTTAGACTCCACCCGTTTTAGGCAATGTGTCACCCTGAGTAAGCCCCACCAGCTCCGAGTCTTCACTTCTCAAACAGGCTGAAACAAGGGGGGTTAATTATTATTTTTATTGCTTTCTGTATATCAGTATTTGATTAAGTATACCTGCTCACTTAATACACTGATACAAACATGTGAGATAGTACCCCAGTGTACTGATACAACTGTTGAGACCAGAAGATATCAAACCTTGGAAATTCTTATCCCCAATAAAAGTCACTAACCAAGGTATAAAGGTAATAAAGGACTTAGCCTATTTTGTGTCACAGCTAGGAGCTGACAAAATGTATGTCTTGGTCAGTTGCCAACCTCTGAGCACTCTCGGAGTTGTTGAAGGAAGGGCCTAAATTATTGTGGTTCTCTAAGTACATTGCACAACACTTCTCTCCTCTCTAACAAGACTGACATCACTTCTCTGGGTGATGTGTTGTGGTATTCGATAGGGCTATCTCACATATCTTTGAGGCATCTATATTTCACTTCATAACTCTTAGCCTGAAAAGAATTTCAGGGGTTATCTTAGCTACTTTCTTGTTGCTGAGGTACAATACCCAGTGCCCACAACTCTAAGAAGGACAGGTTTGTTTTGGCTCATAGTTTGTAGTGGTTTCAGTCCCTAGTCAACTAGCATGGCTGGCAGAGGGGCATGACAGAGGAGAAACAACTCATGGCATGGCAGCAGGAAGTTGAGCAAAATCAAGACACCAGATAGAGAGAGATATGCCCTTCCAGGCCATGCACCTAAGAAACCGCCTCCTCCCACCATGCCTCAATTCTCAACATCACATTCAACTATAATTGATAAGTGGACAAATCCACTGATAAGTACACACCCTAATGCTCTAATCACCTCCCCACAGCCTTACCTCTGAGTGCATGAGGTATTGGAGAACATCTAGACATAAACCATAACACAGGTCTTTTAATAAAATAATAGCATATATTGACTGTTTTAATAACACTTTATAATTTCTAAGTGCATTTACCTGTGTTAGTTCATTTGCTCCACATAACTTTTAGAAATTATTCATAACTAAAGGGAATTTATAAGGATTCAGTATGAAAATGTACAAGCATTTAACAGAATGCCTGGCACATAAATAGACTTGATACATGTCACATATTATAGCTGTCAACTCTTTAAAATAAGTAGGCAGCGTGGTCCATTTGTTACCACACTCAAGGGTTTTCAGAGGAGGGAAAATCCTGGTTTTCTTGACCACCTCTTTTCCTTAATTTGGTCATCTCACATTTGTTTATTTTGTTTGCTTGTTTCTAGGTGATAGTACAACTCATTTTTGCTTTGCACAGCATTCCCTAGTTGGACTTGCATTCAATAGGGTGATAAGTCTCTCTCCAACCCTGGAAACTGGGCATGGTCCAGTGTTTTCATGACAGAGATCTGAGTTGACATTGAGGATTGCCGTGTTGTTCACGACTGCCTTTGGAACGCCCAGTCAACAGCCTTAGAAAATTGAGACAGGTCAGGCAATGGGGTAGTTTGCTGGAACGAGTTAAAATCTCTGTCTTCATCTGCTGAGTCACCAAAAAAGGAAGTCAGGCTCTCAGCCTTCTTACGTGAGGCCTTGCTCTTCAAAATCGCTTGTGTCTACTTTCCTCTTGTGTGCTGTAAGATCTCTGCTGCATAAAGGAGGGGGAGATGGATAAAATGGGGGGATGGATACAGTCAAAATATATTATACACATGTATGAAAATACCACATAGAAACTCAATATTTTGTAAAATTAATAGGCAGTAATAAAATATATTTTTTAAAAAGTTTCCCTACACGAAGTCATAGGAACTGTTGAGGGGATGTAGACTTGAGATATTTATTTCCAGTCAGTTTAAATATTTGACCAGTCACAGAGTAAACAAGATCATGGATTAACCTTGGCAGTTAAACCTAAAAGAAAGTCAAAAATATCCTGGGAACACTGACTTGGAAATCAACCCTTGATGATGATCTGAACAGTTGGGCACTGACCAAGTACTGTCTCCATCCTGAGCATGACCCAACCTAATGTCCCCTGTCTTTGGGGACTCCAAACACAGCAGAAGACGTTTCCTTGAGGTTCCAGGATGAACTCAACTCAAAGTGGGACATTTAAACTCAGAATGGAGATGACGGCTGCCATGGAAGGATGTTGGGACCCAGCCCAACATAAATGTCTGGCAGGGTAATTAATGAGATGAGACTTGATTTACACTGAGCCATTTTTCTGTTGGTGTGAATGCAGGGTTACTGCTTTACCCTTGGAAGCCATAGCTTTCTATTCATATAGTAAAATTGTCCTCAGGAAAACCCTGAGGCAAGAATTAAAGGCTAGTTATTTCTGTAGAAACTGAACACACATACATACCACAGGTAAATGTTCTACTTCTCTACTGAGCAGAAGCTCTGAGATGAGGAAGTATGTGCAAATATTTTTCTCTGTATTTGTATCTCTGGCTGTCTCTTCCCCATACACACACATACCACCCACTAAATTCCAGGAGATATTTATATGAGGCAAATATTGGTTTAAAGATCTGCAGAGAAATAAAGCCAAATGGGGCACATGAACCTAAAGGAGTATGTGGTCATTTTTATGACTCACTGCCAATTACCAATCCTGCCAATTATGACATGACCCAGCGGGGTAGGTAGGGTGGTATGGGTGGAATCATAACTTGAGTTCTGTCCTCTTACAACTCATATGCTAACAGTTTAACCCCTAATACTCTGGAATATGACTTTATAAACACAGTACAGAGATAATCCAGTTAAAAAGAGATCACTAGAGTAAGCAGTAATCCAACAGGAAGGACTGATACCCTCACAAAAAAGGGAGATATGTACACAGGACATGCAGAGGAGCAAGACATTGTAAAGAGATATATGATGAAAATGGCCATGAACAAGTCAAAAAGAGACCTGGAATAGATCCTCTTATCATATCCCTCAGAAGGAACCATTCTGTACACATCTGACTTCCTTCCAGTGTCTGGAATTGTGAGGCAATAAATTTCTGTTGTTGAAGCCTCCCGACTGTGGTCCTTTGTTATGGCACCAGAGTGGATCAAAGCAGCTGCATCTTTGAAGTCTACAGAAGTCAGGCTCTTGGTAATGTAAAGTATACCCTCTCTTTATTACGGCCTTGACCACAAGCTACAAACAGCTGAGTAGTGTTTGGTAAGAGTTCCAGGGCTCCATCATCAGGATGAGCAGTATTAATAGAAAAGGTCTGTAGACTCTTTCTCCTAACTAATTCTTCAACATCTGTTCTTCAAAGTCAGGAAGATAGGAAACAGAAAGTGCTGTGGGTTTTATCCTTTCACTGTGAATCTGCCATATGTCTACCTGCATACAGATGCCTAAGCATTATTGTCTGATCAACTATGAGCTCCTAACTAAAGTACCCGTCATAAGGTTACAGAAACTCCGACCTCATGCACAGATTGGTATAGAAATGAGGACTGGGAAAGCAGAAGTGACCAGCACCAAAGTCACCCAAGGGCTGACATACCTGGCCAGCATCCTAATTCCACATCCAAGGTTTTATCCTGTCTACTGCATTGGTTTCCATCCACAGAAACAACTTTTACTATAGGAAAGCTGGTAAAATTCTCCCTTGCTCTCTGTAGGAATCTGTCCATTTACTCCCCTGTCTGGTAGGAAAGAAAAAGGATAAGGTCTTGCCATAGAACAGGGGCCTCTGAGATCATCTGAATCTTCTGTAATATTTACACTAAGTAGTTTGCCAGACTCTGACTAAACACTTGCAGCAATGAGAAACTTACAATTTCATTTCAGATAGCTCTAAATTCCAAATTCCTTGACAGCAAACCAAAAACTTGCTGGCCTATGGATAGTGAAGACGTTTTTCCTTTATCTTTTAAGTTATTCACTTTGAATCAATGCCCAGGGGCTGTAGTGCTCCAAAGTCTCTGTGAAGATTACAATGGTGACATTAGTTCACGTGACACCTCCTCTCTACAGGGGATCACATCAAAGCAAAATTCCCTTCTGGGTAGGGGGCTCTGTGCCCAGCTCGAGGACACTAAAAGAGGCAAGTCTTTTAGGCAGTGAAATTGAAAAGAATGATAGAGATAATGGCTGCAGTTTTAAAGGATCTACGGTGCAGTTGATTTGAAGAACTGGGCTTGAATCACAGGAAGTACAATTCCCTTCTTTGCAAGGAGCAAGTCAGGTGGCAGCTCAGTAATGGCCATGGCATTCCCAGGTTTGCTTTTTCATACATGCTGAATGGTTTCCCTGCTCCTGGCCACTGCACTTTGAGAAACACTAGGGCAGGACAGGAGGCAGAAGGCAGGACAATGAGTCAGAGAGCCTTTATGGCTCTTCCACTCAGGATTCCTCTTGGGTACATTCTCCTCTTCCTTAAAAAAATAGCCATTGGCCACCGTGAATGGATGGTTCTCAGTACTAAAATAGAAGCCTGATGGAAGACACGGAACTTGGTTTTATAACTCCAGCCTTGTAAGCTTGCATGTATCACTGAACTTTTCTTAAAATTCTATTCACAGTCTCCTGAACAAGAAGGCTGAAGTTAGAAAGGGAGTTGAGATCCAGGAGCTCCATATTCTTTAGGTTTGTGTGCCCATAGATGCCCACTACCACCCACTCTACCCACTTCCCAGTCAGAGGAAATTCCTGGTAGATGAGTTAAACTGGGTTGAAATAAAAACAAAATTCTTCAGTTGGCTGAGCTAGTTTAGACTATTACTTTTAAGAATAAATAACTGCTACCATATGTTGAGTGATTACTATAATGCCAACAATGCTCATTTCACTTAATCGTCCAAAGTTCCTGTGAGCAGGTAGCAATCTCCAGTCCAGAAGTGAAAATAGCCAAGGTTTACAGCAGTCAAGTAACTTCCCCACACTTACCAGCTGGTTAATGTGGCGTCAGGATTACAGTGTAGGCAGAATGATGTCAGAGGCCAGTCTTCCGTCTTTGTAGTAGTTTGGTGCCGTGTTGAAAAATACATGGACATGTTGTTGTTCACATCTGTAAAATCTACATAAACACATTCATAAAATCATCTCTGTGTTTATTTTTATCAATCTATCAGTATACATCTATGTCTACCTCAGTACATATCTCTTTTTTGGCAAGAATTTGCTTTATAGATGAAGGTTGTGTCTCACGCTTAGAATTATTGAAAGTCATTCATTCCTGGCTAGACTCAAGGAAGTGGTGTATGTGAAGTTAACATTTCAGTAATAAGTAGTGAGCAAACCAGACATCTTCAAATTCTCAAAAGTACTATTTTAGTCTGGTACTTAGAAAATACCACTGTTCTTAACAGAATACTTTATTCTTAAATTAATAGATACATTAGAAATTTCAGAGGCCAGGTCCCATGAAGGCACCACCCAGCTTGTACCTAGTGTTTTCATCAATCAAAATAAAATAACCCATGCACACTATTAAAAAGAACAAGCATTGAAGCAGGAGACTGAACATGAAAAGTAAGAAACTCCCTACCCTCATTTCATTTTCAAACACTTTTCACAAAGACAACTACCATTAACGTTTACCCCAACCTTTTCTACAAGAAGGTTCATGCTCCTTCCTCTCAGTAGCTTCTGTCTTCCTTTTTCATTGACACGTATCTTACCCTAACCCCACTTCAGTGCATCTGGCCCTGACTCAATGGTTTTAATGAGTAATCAATACTAATATTAATGAAACACTGATAAGAGCGAAAACTTACATTTATTAAGTCTTTATTATGTGCCACTATCTCTTCTAAACCCTTTACATGTCTTTACTCCTTTAGTTCTCCCAAAGCCTGATAGGAGGTGTTCTGCTGAGTGCCTTCCATTAACCCAGCCCTTCCCCAGTCCACACCGCATGCTGCTCTGTAGGGACAGCAGCAGCAGGCCCTTGGTCTCTGGCTTTCAGGTGAATGGCAATAGGAGATAGAAGAGAAGGTGTAGAATGAAGGGATACTTGGGCACTTGGGTCTCCTAACTAGTATCTCTCCCTCTGTGGCCAGCAGGCCATGGCTCCTGTCAGACAGCCCTTTCACACAGCAGTCTTTCTGCATGGAAGAAACTTCTTCTCTCACTCTTTCTTGGCAATGGCTCACCATTTTTGCCAACCTGGAAGTAGGGTACCTTTACCCTGTTCACACTCTTATAAATAGTTCTTTTCCTTGTACCATCTTAAATGATTTGGTTTGAGTATGCAACTTATTTCCTTCTAAGGATGCTGACTCATACAAATACGTGCCACAATCCCCACGTTACTACTGACAAAGAGAGACCAGAATTTACCTGTCTATACAAGCTGCTTGGCCCATAGTGGGAGCTGGGCTAGATCACAAACTTACTCCCAGGTACTGTGCTTTCACTCCTGTACTTGCTCCATTTCCACAGATTAACCCATTTGGGAATTCGCCTTCATGTACAGTCACATGACATGTCAGTAGTTCACTGGATTTTGCTAATACTCAAGTTTCTATGAATATCTTTTTGTCTATTTTCATAAATGTGTTGAATTTCATCTATAGGTATATTCAATGAGTATGCACAATTTTTAATTTGAGGAGATGTTGTAAAATTGCTATCTTAGTCAATCAAATTAAATTTACTCGGGTACTATGACCCAGTAATTCTACACTAAATGAATGCAGATAAATTTAACTTTACAGACACAGATACAGACATAACTATACTAAAGAAATGCCTACCCCATATCAAAGGGACATGTATAAGAAAGTTCATTGCAGCTTTCTGTGGTGTTGTCATCTGCTTTGTTGTTTGTTTTAATGGGCAAAGTACCCAGTGCAGAGGTGGGAAGTCGGTGGCATGTGGAAGTCCATCACTGGGGAAGTTCTTAGGTAAACTGTAATGGATGCACACTGTGGGATTCTATAAAACAGACTGAAGCAATAGTGTAAATGTCTATATAGTAATATTACAAATATAACGCTGAGTGAAAAAAGAAGTATTTTTCTGAATTAAAACTATATCCAAATAAAACAGCATTTCACAATTTGTAGGAATTCCGGGCAAAATAATACACATCAATCCTATGATTGCCTAAAGTAGGTTGAACTCTGGGGCTAAACAGAACTAATGAAATAATCAAGATATGGGGGTGGGGCAAGGATGAAGTAAAGGAATATCAAATTTTCCTCCAGAAAGATGATGCCATTTACATGACTACCCATAATATGAAGAGTATGAAGAGTAGTGATTTTTCCATCACACTTCCAGCAGTGAATAATATGAAAAAGATTTTTTCAAAGCTGATGCCTATTATCAGGCTTAAATTCATTTCCAGGTTGATGATTTATTTTGCATGTTTCCCTTATGTGGAGTTAAGGTACTTGTATTTTTTTCTACAACTCAGGATACTTTACATTGTAAGAAATGTCCCTTGCTCTTCAGAGTGTTAGCAGATCCACCAGAGAAGTCTTATATCAACAGGTTTTCTGCTCCCCCAGAATCACGAGGGATGTCACATGCAAATGGCCACCCAGTCCAGAATGGAAATGAATGTGGATGCCATGGTTACCTTTAATCCCTCTCTCCAGTTCTGAAGTCACTAGCATCCTAGTGACCCCGTGACCTCTCCAAACCAGGAGACCATCTGTGCTTGGTTGGTAACCCCAGCTGCAAGTTCTGATCATTTCAAACTCTGTTTCAAATTCACTCACACTTAATGCATCAAAAAGAACTGCTCTTTCTGCACTGAGCTACTTCATGTTGTGTGGCTGTTTCCATGAGCCCTTTTTGTTTAGCTGGGCTTTTTTTAAACTTCTCCCCTCTACCCCTCCTTTCCCCTCCTTTTTTTTCTTTTCTTGGAAGAAATTGATCCCTTGCCAAAAGTAAATGAAACTCTGGCTCCAAGTTCAACTCAGAATTTACTAGCTGATAAATTGGAAATGGAGAGTGGGTTGCAAAGGTGGGGGGAGCACTGAGGGGGAGGGAGGTTTTCGTTTTGGGGCAAGTTCAAACTTGGGCTCAGAAGCTATTAAAGTGTCTGATCTGTGCTGAGTCATATGGAGGAGGGGATCAAGGGACGATGCTGGCTTCCTGCCAGCCACATTCCACCTAGGTTGATGAAGAGCCTGCAAAGGAACTACAACAGGATCATAATTTCAGTAGCCTTTTAAATATAGCATTAGAAGCCACGTGCCTGACACTGAGCAAGTAATAAGCTTGGGACTCTTATGTTTCCTTGAGAGGTGCCTGAGACACCTTTCTGAGACCCAGACTCCCACTCAACTTTTCTTTCAACTTTGCCCACTATGTCTCTTCCTCCCATCCTCCTTCCCCTTCTCCAGTGAATCTCGCCTGACACCTTCTATTCAACAAGGGACTAGGTAGAGCCATAGAGAACAGACCAGTGCTAAGAGGGTGAACTTTCCTCAGGATATATGAACTAAGGCCACGCTGAAAGCAGTCTTGTAAGAAAGATAATGTTATGTCCTTTTCTCCAGATAAGGAAAGAAAAGCACAAAGACCTAAGCAAACTTCTCCCAGGTTATAAAGCTAGTAAATACAGATATGGGATTTGAACTTAAGGTATCTGCTCCATGCCCCTGGCCACGGCAACCTCTGCTCCCCACTCAGGAGCCTTGGTCTCTCTGTACCTCAGAGGATGCCAGCTCTTGAATGTTTCGTAGCCTTGGCACTTACTATTCTCTTCTCAGGCAGGGATGGAAAGTAAAAGGCAGATCAGTCCAGTTCTTCAGCTCCTTCCGTACCATTTCCTTGCTCAAAGCCTGGTTCAAGGACCATTCCATCATTCATCATTCATTTTCCCACCAACGTTATATTACTGAAATTTTCAGTCATGCCCAAAAGGTGAGAGATGGCTGCAGTACCCAGGTACTTACCATCTAGATACTTAGAATTAAGATTTTGCTATATTTCTTCCACCCTATCTATCGATTTCTCCAAACCTTTATTCACTTACTCCGTCCATTATATTTTTGATGCATTCTAAATAACCTGGAAATATTAGTACACTACAGCACTGAATCCCTCTATGTTCTATTCTATTTTACTTCATATGAAAGAATCATACTTAAAAATTATCAAACGCTTATTTCAAACATGAGTAGGGCAGTGTTCACAGTTTTTTTGTTGCATCTCACATGATCCTTAGCAACAGATCTGAGAGCTGCCATTAGCTCCAGTGTTTAAATGAAGGAACTGAGGCAAGGGAAGCTTGGTGTCTCACATTTCCTGGCAGAGGAAGAACGATTGACTCTAAATCTTTTGTTCTTCCTTTAAGTCTTATGCGTGGGGTAGAAAGATCAGGGTTTGTAAACGAATGTCATGCCCAGAGATAACACTTCTTTTTTCTTTTCCAAATCTGGTGTTCTTAACTGTCTCTTCTGAGTTACTTAGTTTTCAAAAATTAAGAATTGTGTGATATTAGTCAAACCTGACATTGGGAGAAAGTAGTTACTCATTAAGTGCATGCACTCAAAATCATCTCCTAATACAGCTTTGTGGTTACAAGCACAGACTTAGAATTGGAATGCATGGGTTTGAAACCAGTTTACCTACCTACTGGCCTTATGACGTTGGGAATATGATTGGCCTCTCTATGCTTCAGTTTCCTCGTTGGTAAAATAAAGATCATAATCATATTCACCTGTGCCATTGTTAGGATTAAATTATATTTTACATATAAAAACCTTACCTAGATCCTAGCACATAATAATTGTCTGATAAAAGTAGCTCAACCTGTCATATAGATCTCAGTGAACAACTTTGTCCTAGGTGCGTCACACTTTCCGACAACCTCAACAAACGGGGGTTTATTACAAAGGCAAGGGGCGTTAAAGAAGCTCAGGAAATCCACAGCAGTGGAGCTAGTTCTTTAGGGTCTGGAAAATCACTGTTTATCTTTTAGGCTGTAGTAGCCATAACCTTTCATATGGCCACACAACTTGTCAGCAAGGTGTGAACCTTTTATTCTTCTGTACTTCTGCTTCTCTCTCTTTTTTTCCTTTTGCCAGTGGTAGAAGGTTAAGTAAATTACACTAC